CTGGGGCTTTTGAGGTTGTTTCCTGTTCCTGTTCGAGGCTTTGTATTTTCCATTATATTATACTTTGACCTGAGTCTCAGTGTGCCCTTTTGGTATTGGTGGGTTAATCCTACTGTCTCCAAAGATCATGTATTTTAGAGTTTGGGTGGGGTATGTAGATTTTAGGTGTCTTTGTCTTCCTAATTTCTTCAGTTTCTAGCTGGAAGGCTCAAACCGTTCTAAAAGGATATTGAATTTGCATTTCTAAAAGCTGGCCTCTGCTGACTTTTCTGCCTGGGGAAGAGGGGGCTGGGGCTGGTTTCTGTCCTTTTTAAAGATCTTCTACACATTATTCCTTTGGGGAAATATATTCTGCCTTTTTAATATTCCCCAAAATATTTCTTTCTCTGGATTCTTCCCACAAACCCTTTTGGAACTGATGAGCAACATGAATAACATTTTTTTTTCTCTTCACATAAACTATTTGCATCACATGGATTCTTTCCTCTGCATTTTTACCCAAAAGTAAGGCATTGTTCAGTCCTGTGAGCAAGAGTACTGCACTTGAGTGTGGCCCTCATTAAAATCAGTCCACTTTCTATTGTATCAAATTGATGAATCATATATTTCCTTCTACAGCTAGAGCTATTAACCAAAATAAATCTTTCTTCAGTCTAGCGATAGGTAGCACTGACACGTCTTGCCAAAAAGGATGCTCTAGACTTCCATGTCTTATGCTGATAAGATGCTTCAGTGTTTTCTCATGGCAGTGCTGGAATCCTTCTGTTCATTAAATCATTTGCATGGCTTCTCAGAGTCTATGGAGTGAGCAGTTATATTGACTTTAAAAAACAATCAACAGTTCACTTGCCCTTTTTATTTAAGAAAACCACCTATCTGCCACAGCCATTTATCAGCTCAGCAAACGGCAGTGCAGTTTCCCTGTTGAAAACTATTCCTCTGCTCTCGACCTCAGCTTTGATCTGAACTGGGCTGACTGTCTGGAGGTGACCGAGTTCTGTTTCAAAAGCTCTGTCTTCTCAAAATGTTTTAGAAGCTGTGAAAAAGTTACTTCATGTTGGGTAGTCCTGCCAGAAACAAAATGCAGAAAAGAGACTTCTTTTCCTCATGAAAACACTAACTGCATACTTTTGTCAGGACAACAGCTGGCATAGCAAGTTTGGCTTCAGACTTGAAATGAAAGGGAATTCAAAATAAGATCAAACCGATAGCCTTATGTGTCAACAGAGAAATCTGTAATACCATTAATCTTTGAACTACTATGCATATTATATCATACTAAAATGATCTATAAATCAAGATGAAGCAAGCAGTTTTTTTAAAAAGCAGGCTTTTCTATTTATTCATATTTATAGTTTGTTGTGCTGCTGGACTTTTTAATAAGTGAATAGGAATTATTTCAAAGATGAAATATCTAATGCAAAAAAAAATGTGAAGGAAGGAAAACCACAATTACCTTTTGCTTTTGTGAAGAAGGGAAATTAGTAGATGATGAAGTCATGACATTTTTACATCTGGCACTTCACTTCATTTCTGAATAAATTCCCTCCCCCCTCATTTGAGCAAGACTATTCTGCATAATCAGCTGTTCTAACATTGATCAGATTAAAGGCTGATTTAGAGTTGCCTACAACTGCCCATAGTAGTCACTGCAAGCAGGTTGATGGATACGTAGAGGTGGCAGATGAAGATGAGCTGACGCAAACACTTTCCAAATCCCAACTGTGCATTGTGCGGAAGTGTGCACCCTGCATGCTGATTGGTTGACCTGACTTCCTCTTCTGTGATTTGCTGAGGCCCTGCCTAGACAGAATGTTAAAATTTGCTAATGTATAAAAGGGACATCTATCCACTGTCTCTGAATGACAGACACATATGTTCCCTCACATGCAGTGCCAGGGAAGTCTGCTCTAGCCTAATTAGAGAAGCAAGCAGATTCCCAAACCAAGTGCAGAAACTGCAGACATTCAGCTATCCTTGTTGCTGATGTCCAGTTTGCTATATTACATCCGACAGTTATGGGCATAGTGTGGCCACAACCAGTGGTGGGATTCAAATACCTGAACAACCAGTTCTTTGTGTGGATGTCGCTTCCAGAAGTTCATTCTGGGCCTGGGCAACAAAAAATTAGCTACAGTTCAAGAGGTGCAATCCCACCACTGGCCACAACTACAAATCCAGTATGTACTGAATTCAAAATGAGAAATACACTTTGGTTACAAGCAAAATTTTTTAAAAGTTCAACAAACTATGCCTTTAAGTTCATTAGAATATTTCCATTCTTCTATCCAATAACAGTTATGTAGCTGGCAAAATATTTTTAAAATGTTTCTCTGAATACCTCACTCTAGAATGTCACTCAGTATTGTGAAGTGATGGGTAGCTGTCATCCTGCAGATTAAGGATTTTTTTTTTATTTAAAAATTTGAATATCTTGCTAATACTGTAGAATCGTTAATACTCCCTACTAAATTTATGATAAATAAAATATTTGCATTTCCTGCAGTTGTACAATGTTCATATTTTCCTACATATTAATTGCAATTTATTGTGGCTGAATACAGTAAGAGAAAGATTGTACTCGAGTGGATTCTCACTTTACATGAGCTATACTTAAGCATGGTTTATAAAATAGTCAATATTGACTAAATCACAATTAGTTATGCCTGCCCAATATGCTCAGTTATAAACTGCACTTTATCAAGTGTTTGGGTTCATACCAATGAACCAAAACTAAGAAAAGCATGATCTGGATTGGCATGTAGTTCACACAAGGTGACTAGGTTCCTGAATCCTAAAGAGCCAAACCCAAAAGTATGATTGGTCAGATATGTTTCCAAGAAGCTCTGTATAAACAAAAACATAAGCCACTTGTGCCCTCTTGTCTACATAACTCCAATCTTCTGAGAAATAAAAAGAACATACTGAAACAGTATTTTCCTTAAAGAGACTAGTGACTTATTTTCCTTATCTAGGAAACTCATGTTTACTTTATGAACCATTCATGACCTCTTTTATAACACTGTAAAAACAAAGATCCTCCTACAGTCCTCCTTTAACACTCTCCTCTCTTGACAGCAATCTAGATGCAGTTATACCATCTCTTTAAAAAAAAAACCAACAGGGTGTTAATTTACAAAGAGAATGTTGTCCCTCATTTTTCTCTGGTACTGTAATAGTATGCGTGGAATCTCCTTGGGAAACAGGAAGAATACCTGCAGCCTAGAGAATAGTCTGATAAGTTGAATCTGAATCTAAGGAGGGACGGAGAAAGGGTCTCAGAAGTTGTTAGCCATTTGAACTCAGAACATGTTAACCCTTTAAGGTAATCCAGACAAGAAGTACAAACATGAGTATTGTTAAGATTGTATTAACAGAATCTTGCAAGTCTCAAAGTACTCCTCCCATCCATTTTCCCTCCTGAAAACTAGGCAGTGTCCCTTCTAAGATACTTACTCTACCTCTTCTCCTTCAGACTCAAATTTTATCATTGTTTAGGCTGCCTCTTTTCCTTCTGTCTCCCAAGATCATTCCCATATACTGTTATAGGTACACTACATTCCGGATATGGTCATGCTTACCTTGAAATTATTGAAATTAGCCTTGAGTAATTACAAATGTACTAAAAAAAAATCTGACATCGATACCAAGACATTCTTTAAGTGACTGTGAATACAGCAGTTCCACCTTACCTATCCGTCTTTCATCAAGAATAAATCTCTGTAATTGTGCAGTTCTTCTTGAATAGAAGATATCCCTGTATGAATATGAAGAATTATTTAAAAAATCTGTTTTCACCATTTTCAATTAAGAGGACTGACCATTATCATCCATCATTCATACTAACATACGTGAGAAATGTCTTAAGAATGTCTTAATTATGCCTATTTGCTCTGTTAATGTCAACTGCATATACCAAAGGACAAGACCTGAATTGATAAGTTGAATTCTAGGAATAAATAATAATGAAAATTAGATCATGCCTGAATGTACATGTTGCTCATAAACTAAGTGCAAGCTGTACTGTATTACTCTTATTTTGAATTAGATGATTCATGCAGATATGTCTTTAATAAGAGACTACCAGCTGCATAAGGAATAAGCCAGCTTAGCAACTTCGCTGCTTTTCTCCTGTAATCTCATATGGCATCTCATATAATGCTATGAAGCTGGCAACAGATTTGGGCACTTATGAAAAGTTGCAGGAAGGAGAAAGAATCGCCAAAATAGAACCGTCTTCTGGTTTTACTGATTCTGAAAGTTTCTGTCAGCAAAGGAATTATCAGAAAGATACAATCAATGTTTTTTCTGTAACAGCAAGTAGATTAGTTCTTCTGTTCTGCACATGTAGGTAAAAAGAGAGAATGTTTCAGCAAATCACATTTGTCCAAAGCTGGACATCACTCTGGATTTAAGAAGACACCAGCATTCCCAAATATAGAAGTATATTGTTCTTTCAGTTATCTAAAGTATTGTCGGTGTGCAAATTAGGTTGATGTCTGAACAGAATGCAGGTACAACTATTAGTTTAATAATGGTTTGAAGATATAACAGCTTTGGAAAAAGTAACTTACGACCCATCCTCAAAGTTACAGCTGTCACACCACCCCTATGATCATGTGATTGTAATTCGGCTACTTGGCAATCAGTAAAAATTTACAACAGTTGCAGTATTTTGTAGCTATGTGACTGTGATTTGCAACTTACCAGCTTCCAACAAGCAAAATCAATTGTGTAAACTAGATTCACTTAACAACTCAAGGAACAATTACCATAAAATCAGATCCTGTCATGTTATGACTCCCTGAACCACCATACTGCTTAGCAATTGAAATTTTAGTGTCAGTTGTAGTCATAAATCAAGGACTATCTGTGCTTAAGTATTACTTTTCAATGCATGCAATATCATGAATTCATTTTAGCATCACAGTTCAGTTTGAATTGTGACTAAACTATTACAATATTTTATGCAAAGGTGAAATATTTAAAAAAACAAACAATTCTGAGAATGGCAAATTTTATTTCAAGAAAACATTCTACATTTTATAATGTCTAGTGGCCATGAAAAAAATCTTATTTAGAAGATGATACAAGGCAGTTAGGTAATAATTCAGTACACATTCATATTCCCAAACATTACTTCTCTTATTTACTACTGGAATAAAGAAGGCAATTGCTACTGTTGGTAAGTCTTCATTATATTCAAAGTATATGTCTAGAAGCTTCTTTTGAAAAGTTCTGGAACAAATGTGAGCCAAAACTATGAAGGAATCTCTAATACTTCCAAATATAATTTTAAATCACTGATTATAAAAATAAATCCCAAACTCCAGTAAGACCAGAAACACAACACATAATTTAAAAATGGCCTTGTGTATAAAGGTGTCTATGATAATAGATGATATCTGCCTTGTTTTATGTTAGATGCCCAGAACTAATATGCTAAAGTTATCTTAAGCCAGGGCTGTCAAACTTGCAACGTCACATGACGTGTCACGACTTTACCATTGCCAGCAATGGGGTGGGTGCAGTTTCGCTATGATGCATGCGGCCTGCGGGCCGGCAGTTTGACACCCCTGTCCTAAGCTGACGGAAGGTATTGTTGCAAGCAGAAGGACTCCTCCATTTGACTCTTACTGAGGCTTCAACTCACTTGAGATGTCGTCAGATGTCTTCAGTGTTGTCTATCCATTATTTCTTTGAGAATTGAAAAAAAATCCAACCCTTGAATCTTCCAAAATCTTTTTACAATCTATTTAGAAGGAATGTCAAACTTTTTTTGGTGCATATGATCCCCCCGCTTAACTGATACCAATATATTTCTAATATTTCTTTAAAAAAAACATTATATTGTCCAGTAGTTTTGGGGCTCTGCTCAGTGCCATATGACTGGACATCTGGCCATATAACAGAGCTCCCCCCCTCACCTTTTTATATTCACACTACTTTCACTAAACCTTGTTCTTTGACTTGCCAGAGCAGATAGTTGATTATATAGGAAACTGCTGGGGGAAAAGAAAAAAACCTTCCACCTATGGTGCTATTCTGCTGATAAGAGAACCCAATTATCCAATCATCTTGCAGCATGCATTCAAGAAGACATTTATCTGAGCATATTCAATATCACAGTAAATTATGCAAGAAACGTTTCAGTATTATTTTGAACTAACGCATAATAATGCCAGTAAGATTACTGATGCTAGTAATGTATTTAAGATCGTTAATGTAATTTATGTAATACAAAACATGTGGTTGTTTAAAAATTCAGTTGCCAAGTATAAAAATGGAAAGAAACTTTGTGTATGAAATCCCAGAGAAAGGACATTAGCATGCCACTTTTTTTCTAAAGAGATACCGCACATTAATTTTTATAGGATACTCATCTAATTTTCTAGAATAAGTCAGACTTTTATTTTAAAGGTAAGTCATTACAACTTTGGGAAACACCCTCTTTTATGGATTAATAAAAAACACAAAGTGGTGCATATTTCCACTTATTCCTCATCCTCTCCACTTCATATTTACCATTAGAAAAATAGAAGATTTGCAGTAGCTGTCATGAGCCACATTCAAAGTTAATGATGACATTGGGGGAAAAAGGGCAAATGCAAAATTGGCCAGCTCAACTGCTGTTATCATATGAAGGATCTTTCTTCCTATTCAGTTTGCAGGAGCAAGGATTTTTGGTCAGGTCAACCTCACCAAGCTTTATTGAACTCTCCCCATTATTGCTGTCCCCAACAATGGCTGATCCTCAGAAAACATGATGACACTTCAATCTGCAGACAATGGAATAACACTGATGTGTAGAAAGTTATCAGGATAACTCATATGTTCACTTAGCCACTGTATTGGTGTCTCCAACATTGGTTCTATTCCATGAATCATCACTTGAGTCTTCTTTTCACCATCTAATTCACCGAGAGAGGGAGAGAGAGAAATTGCTAAGCTAGCAATTGTGAAGACTTAATGTTTTTAAGTATATGATACATAGCTTCATAGTGAAATTCTGTAGAATCCTTGCTTTATTGCTACTGATTATTATCTTACTAAGGTTCAAATGAGTTTGTAAAGGTACATGGAAAGTTCTATTAAATGAAGTTTCGTAATATTATCAAGAAGCTGCTGGGGTTTTTTAAAAAAAAGAACCACTGTAATCTTACTATACCAACCTTTCTCTCATTGTGCACACTGAAGTGAAAAAGTAATAGTTTTAACAAAGAAGGCTTCAAAAGATTTCTTAAATCCAAAGGTTTTAAATACATTTGAGTGGCAGTAATTTACAAAAGGACAAAGTATGTGCAGAATTGTGGAATACTTAACTGGATCCAGACTAAATATGCTTACAGCAGATTGAATGAAATAGTTTGGAGCAGTGCTAAATCTTGTACATGTCATAGAAATGAAATATGTACAGATAATAGAGTACAAGGTTCAGAGATTATGAAAAGAGATAGATTTGGCTTGGGTAGACACCAAAGTTGGCCAGTTTAATTTGGG